TCTCTGAAACTCACTTTCCTTATCTATAAAAGGTGGTCAGAATAAATGACCTAGTCCAAGGGGTGGAGGCTGTAGGTTCCCCATCCCAGCCTGGTCTAAGTTCCTCCCCTCTCCAAACTGATGATCATTGAAAACGGGGTATTTCTAGAAGGATCTATCCACACAAAAAAGAAAATGGAAAATATAGAGAAGAATGAAGACCAAGGGTGGGAAAGGAAATCAGGTGTTCAATATATGTGACCATGCCAGGAACGAACCTAGAGAAGAGAAGAGGTCAATGAAACTAGAAAGTGGGCAAAAAGTAGACTTAGGACTAGTAATATGTGAGGCAAGATTTGGGGAATAACAATTCTGAAAAGGGTGGTCCAAGTGGGTGAATACTTTTTGTGACATATGTGAATACTTCTAGACAGATCACTCCAAAAGAGGAGAGAGTCTTCAAAAGAAGACTGGAGTAGTGGATAAAGACCTTGGAGACAATGTCTAAGAAAAGATGTGGAGGTTGAAAAATTTGGGGCTGGGAACCTAGAAGGAAAGGAGGAGGTGGTTCAAGACTTTGGAGGCAGAGGAAGTAAGATTACAGTTGGCCGTGGTAAGGAATAAGAAGCAGTACAGTCCAATGGAAAACAAATTCAAGTTGGAGTTAGAAGAATAGGGCTTCAAATCTGGACAGCCATATGACTCTGGGAAAACCATTCTGTCTTTCAGGACCTCGATGTTTCTGTTAAATGAGGGAATATGAGAAGATGGATTAAGTGACTTCTCTAAATCTGTGATTTTTATGAATGGTGATAATGCCTTCAGGGATGGGATGTAGACAGGTAAGCGACTGAAGGGGGGTGGAGGGAAGGGATATTGAAGAGTTTAGGGTAATGGTGAAGACTTTAGGAGTCTTTCCCCCTAGAGGGGAAAGAACAGAAATAAACTTGTAGGCAGGACTACAAAAGGGGTTTGAAAGGAGTGAATAAAAATCCTGCCACGGTGATGTAAGCACCGGGGGGTGGGGACTATGACGCAGTCAGGTGTAGTATAAAGAACAATGCGGTTGAGATCAGGAGACTCAGTTGAACTATTGACTCGACCACTTAATACCTGTGTGACATTGTGTAACTTAACCTCTCTGGGCCATAGTTTCTCTTTCGTAAGGACTGGACAGGTGAACTCTAAGGTCCCTCCCAGCTCTAAATCCTATAAAGATTGTCTCCATATTGACACTTGCCCTATAACATCCAGAAATGGGTGGACCTTAGAGGCTGGTCTGGATGGGACAGGAAACTGGAGGCCAAAACTTTAGGAAACGGGAAACATTAAAAACCTTGAGTTGGTGGTGAAGACTCTGGGCATGGGGCTCAAGTAGGTAGTTGTCACGTAGTGAACAGAACACCAGTTTTACAGTCAGGAGGCCTGGTTTCAACTTAACTGCAAGCCTCTGCTACTTACTCCCTGTGTGACCTTGGTCAAGTCACCTCCCCACTTTGGGCCTATTTCCTCACCTATGAAATGAGGGGGTTGGATGAGATTATCTGTCTAAATTCCAGAAAAATCCAATTTCTACATCAGGAGTTTTCAACCTTTTTCTGTACCACAGACCCTTTGGCAATCTGGTAAAGCCTATGGACCCTTTCCTAGAATATTTTTAAATGCATAAAATATACAGAATTACAAAAGAAATCAATTATATAGGTTTATAGTAGAATTATTTACTATGTTGTATATGTTATATGTGTCCATATATACCTGTTATGTATATATGCCTGTGTGTATGTATGTATTCATATACATAAAACACATTTGTGGTGGTTTTTTAAAAGTTCATAGGTCTTAGATCAAGAATCCCAGTTTACATACCATTATCTGCTCTACTACATGGGGGCCTTGGCCTGAAGTGAAGTGAAACTGGTAAAGATTCAGTCTGGAAAGGGCAAGAGATTAAGGATAAAGACCATGGGTGCAGGACTCCAGGAAATGGGATAGGGGAGTATAGGGTGACCTGCTTGGATGCAATAAAGAATTATGGATTTATAGCTAGTAGAGACCTTAAAAGCCACTGACAGATGAGGGAACTGAAACAAAAAGGAGGAAGTGACTGGCCTCTGTCTCACATCTGTAGTGGTCTGAGGCAGGATTTGCACCCAGGAGTCTTTTCACTCTTCCCTTCTAGGTGTCTACTCTGCTTCTGGGGTGGGGCCCTAGAAGAGATCACACTATGGTGCACTGCAGTCAGAAGACCTGAGGTCACCACTGCTGATTCCGATACTCACTACCCTGTGTGACCTATAACTTCCCTTCCTTGGGCCTCAGTTCCTCAAGGATGACCTTTCAGCTCCAAATCCTATGAAAACCCAATTGTCTCCATGTCTCCTGCCCTCAAAAACGTTTGAAATGGAACACCAGAAGGTACTTTTGGGGCAGGGTCTAAAAGAGGCAAGAGGTCTGAGGTGAAGATCTTACAGGTAAAACCCCCCAAAAGGTAGAAGGGTTGAAGATCTTGGGATAAGGGTCTCAGAGGGTCAGTGATGACTATGGGGTAGTCCTGAATGCTGAAGGCTTTGGGAGTGGACCCCAGAAGGAAGCAACATACTGTAGCAGACAGACTACAGATTTGTAGTCAGAAGCCCTGGATTCAAACCCCTACTATAGTTTCCTCATTTCAAAATTGAGGGAGGTTGGACTAGATTCTTCTGGGGTGAGGGGAGAGCTGAAGACCTTGCAGTCAGAACACTATCAAGCGATGGAGCAAAGATCTTAGGGGTAGGAAGAGCAAGGGCCAGGAAACTCTTCCACAGGATCCCAGAAGACTCAGTGGCAGGGCTGAGCACCAAGGACACTGAGGAGGGACAGCTGTGTGTGTAGGAAGAGGGGAAGGAGATAAGCCTTGGGGATGGTGGTAAAGGCTCAGGAGTGTACCTCTCTAAATCCTATGAAAATCCAATGGGCTACAGATTATCATCTGCTCTATGGCCGGGGGAGGGGAGGATGAGGGTGGAGGTGGATTGCTGTGTTAAAGACCTTGGGCACAAGGCTTAGAAAAGGCATCCATGGTCCAGTAGATAAGAGCAATGAACTGGCAGTCAAGAGACCTGGGTTCAACCCAAGTATGCCATTTTGCTACCTGATCCCTCTGTGACCTTGCCCAAGTCACTCCCCATCTCTGAGCCTCATTTTCCTCATATATAAAATTTGGGAACTGACCTCTCAGGTCCTTTTTGGGTTCTAAACCTCAGGAAAATCCACTGTATTATACCTCTTTCAAATTGTCTTTATCTACTGTATATGTATGTGTACATACATATCTATATACCTATCTCTACATGTACCTAGTTATTTAAATATTATCTGCCCCATTAGAATACATGCTTCTAGAAAACAGGGCCTATTATTTGCCTTTGTATCCCCAGCACTTAGCACAGTGCAGAGAAAATCAGTCTTCCCCCCCCATGTCTTGACTCTTTGTTTTTGTTTTTTTTGGGGGGGCAATAATACAGGAATGGTTTCCCATTTTCTTCTCCAGCTCATTTTTACCGATGAAGGAATTGGGGCAAACAGGGTTAAGGCAAACAGGTTCACACAGGGTCAATAAATGTCTGAGGCTAAATTTGAACTCAGGAAGATGAATTCCTGACTCCAGGCCCAACACTCTCCACTGCGCCATCTACCTGTCCCTACAGGGAAAATAGTAAGATTAAAATTATTTATTATTGTTTTATTGAAATTATTGTTAAAATAGTAAGGTTAAAAATGCTTGTTGACTGCCAGTCCTTAGACCAAGAGTGGGGAGGTTGGAGAACTGTGGGGTTAAAGACCTAGGGGGCAGGAGAGAAGGGAGTAAAGACCTCAGGGCACGATCGAAGAAAAGAAGATAACCATCTTGGAAGGAAAACAAGACCCAAAGAGGTTACAGCAACAGTCTATCTCACAACTCTAAAGAAGCAGAGAGTGGATTTGAATTCAGGTCCCCCCACTCCAAATATATTACTTCTTCCACTGCACCACATTGCCTTCCAAGATTTGGGGTGGGACCCCAAATTGTATGAGGGTTGTGGTGGGGGGACAGAACAGGACAGGGTCTGGAAAGGGATAGGAATAGGGAGAATGGAAATGTAGAGTATTAAAATCCTCAGGGTTTTTACATTGTATATATTTTATATGCTGTATGGTGGCTTGCATGTTTTCTCTCCCACTAGAATATGAACTCCATGAGGACAAGGTCCCAGTTTTTGTGTTTCTTCCTAATCCCAGCACTTAATACAGTGCCTGGCACATAGTAAGCTTTTAATACTTGTTGGCTGACTCAGGGACAGGACAGTGGGACAGAATCACTGTTTTAGAGCTGGAAGAGGCCTATAGAACCTGGTCTAACCTCCAGCGCAGTAAGGACAGGAAACCAAGCCCTGAAGGTGTTAAAGTGACTGGTCCACAGTCACACAGCTCTTACACTGAAAAGCTAGGGTTTTAATTCAGATCCCCAAACTCCATAAACAGCTCCTCCCACTTTACCACACCACCTTCTCAGATTAAGGTTGAGGGCCAAGATTTTTTGAGGGGAGGGAGGAATAGTGTGTGTTAAAGACTTTTGGGGACAAAGATCAGATCAACGTGAAGTAAAGCCCTCAAAGGCAAGGTGTGCAAAGGGCAGGGGGTGGGAAGGAGTTGTTAAAGACTTTAGGGGTAGGATGTCAAAGGGGTGAAGTTAACAACTCAAGGACAGGGCCTGCAGAGCCAGGGGACGAGGGAATTAAAAGATTCTGCAGGTAGGATGTCCATCAGAGGGGTGGGTGCTGAGCCCTCCAGGGCAGAGCCCGAACAAGGAGGGGTGTTAAGAGACTCGGGGGCAGGATGTCCATCAGAAGGGTGGGAGCTGAGCCCTCCAGGGCAGGGCCCGCATAAAGGGGAGTGTTAGAGACGCGGGAACAGGGTGCAGGTGAGAGGGGCGGGGCCGAGCCGGGCGGGGGGGGTCGGAGTGCCAGGGGAGGGGGCGGTGCTGCGGCCCTCCGGCTCACCTTGAGCAGCACGAAGAACTCGAAGACTCGGCGGAAGGCAGGCGGGAAGAGGCGCGAGTAGGTCACGGCCATCTTGAAGAAGAGCGCGTGGAAGAGGCGGTCGCGCACGTTAATGAGCGGGTTGGGGTTGGGGTTGAGGTTGGGGGTGCGCGCCCCGCGGGGGGTTCCGGCCCCGCCGCCTCCGGCCGCCGCCCCCCCGGGCCCGGCCCCGGCCCCGCCGGCCGAGTTGGCAGGGCCGCCTCCCGGGGCGTTCCCGGGCCGGGCGGGGGCGGCGGCGGGTTCTCCGACATCCTGCGCTGGGCCGCCGAGGCGCTAACAGGCCGGGACTCCGGGAGGCGGCGGCCCAGCCGCCATTGGGCCCCTTCCGGGCCGCAGCGCTCCCGCCGGGTGCTCGCCCTCGCTCTCGCCCCTGCCCCGAGTTCCGGCCGCCGCCGCTTCTCCTCCTCCGGCCGCGCCACCGCCTCCTCACGGGCGCTTACAGGCCGCCATTCGCCCCCTCCGCCGCCGCGACCGCGGCCCTGCTGACTAGACGGCTCCGCCCGCGGGGAATCCTGGGACGCTGAAGGAACGGCCCCGCCTACCAATCGGCCCCTCCGCACTTCCCTGCCCTCCCCTCCGTCCGGGCTGCCTGGGCGGGGCCAAGCCAAAGCTTCTTTTGCATACTCTCTCCCATGAGACGCCGCGGCACAGGCCTCGACTCGAAATTTTGCAAATGCAGCAGCATTTTTAATGCAACGCAAATAAAGTGGGAAAATTGTACTTTGCAGTTGTACATTGCTTTATTCTGAAGATGGTTTCGTTTTGGGAAGTCAATCATAGTCGTCCTAATCATAAAATGGCTCGATAACTCAGCTTTAAATACTCCAAGTCAGCCAAAGCATCTTGTGCTTGCTTCGGCAGCACATATACTAAAATTGGAACGATACAGAGAAGATTAGCATGGCCCCTGCGCAAGGATGACACGCAAATTCGTGAAGCGTTCCATATTTTGCTAATTTTAAGTTACAGCCTGGCAGACCAATGGAACCTTAGAGCTGAAAAGTGACGTAAATGGAAGTCGTCTATTCCAAACTTCGCTCGCGCGCTCGCGCGCTCTCTCTCTCTCTCTCTCTCTCTTTCTCTTTCTCTCTGTATGTATACACACATACATATGTATATAATATACACATACCTACATACACATGCATACACACACATATATACACGTACATATATGCACACTGAGGCCGGGAACAGTCAGCCTGTGATAACTGAATGTGAAATGTAGCAGCCTGTGCCTGAAACCACTGGATCTTGCCAAGCTGTCAGATGAGGGTGGCAGGAGAATCCCTATCTTCCAGATGGCCACTCTCTTTTATTGTCTTATAGAGACAGGGTAAGCGTAGTGAGACAAACACAGGGTGGGGAAGGAAGGGGGAAAAAAAACCACCCTGGAATTGAAGTAAAGTGGTGGACTTGAACCCCAGCTCAACATTTACTAGCTATGTGTCTGAGGGCAAGTTATTGAACAGCTCCCCAGCCTCTGTTTCCTCATCTGTCAAATGGGGATAATAATGCTTGCCTCAAAGGGGTGTTGCAAACATGCAGTTCAATACATTTATTAGTGGCCTACTGTGTGTTGGACCTGAGGGAGGGAGCTGGGTACAACCATATGGCTAAGCATTGATTAAGCACCCACTATGGGCCAGGCACTGGGATTGTTGTTATTGTTCAGTTGTTTGAGTTCCTCCAAACCCAGTGGAGTTCTTCTATGGGGTTTTCTTGGCAAAGATACTGGAGTGGTTTGCCAGTTCCTTCTCCAGTGGCAAACAGAGGTTAAGTGACTTGCCCAGGGTCACACAGCTAGGAAATTTCTGAAGGTGGATTTGAACTCATGTCTTCCTGACTCTAAGCCCAGTGAGCTGCCCCAAGGAGCTGAGATTACAAAAGCAAAAATACAAAAAATACCTGATTTCTTTGATATATACGGTGCTCTAGCAAATTCCTTCTGCTGATGCAGGTCAGCACCTTCTCTCTCATTTCTAATCTAGAGTACTGAGAGCTAAGTGATTTGCCAAGGGTCACAGAGCCAGTATATGTTAGAAGCAGTACTTGAGACCCACTCTTGAATCACTGTTATACTCCCTTATTGAAAATAACGATAGTTAGTCTAATGTTCCATTGCACCTTGAAGTTGGCAAAAGAGCTTTATAAATATTACCCTGTCCACAACCTCAGGGAGGTAGATGCTATATCATCCCTATTTGACAGATAAGGAAACTGAGGCAGACAGCGATCAAGTGACTTGCCCAGGGTCACACAGTTGGCATCTGAGGCTGGATCTGAGCTGAGAACTTCCTGATTCCAAGCCCAGTCATCTATTAACCTCGAGAGCTGGATGCTTAAATACAAAATCGTTTGGCTGCATCAAGACATTAGAAGCTGGGGAAGATAAGGAAAGGATATGGTGTTTCTACACGGCCCAGACCCTTGCCCTCACAGAGCTCCCAAATTCTTAAGAATGAAATGAGAAAATTTGAACCTTAAAGCCATGGGCAGTTGGATGTTAACAATTGCTTTCTATGCCCTGTGCCTCTGCCCTCCTCCAAAAAATCATCTCAAAATAGGCTAACTCTAGGTTGTCAACAGAATTTTGAATGCAGGCCAGACTGAACCCGTCTCTAACCTAGGAATGGCCAGAGCAGAACACAGCAGGCTAGAGACAGGTGTGTCACATACAAAGTAGTGGTATAATTTATTTCACAGTGAGAAAATGATTTGCGTGCAAGGAAGCCCCCCCTCCTAAGAAGGGGGACTTAATATGTTGGGGTACAGGCAATGCTTATATACCCAAGTGGGCTGAACTATGATATAATCATTTTTAGGTCTTGAGTTACTGTTCCCACAGAACATGTGGGAGTCTTGTCCCAAGTCTTGGGGGTCATGATTACTCTATGGGGTACAGAACCAGAATTCTGTGACGGGAACAGGAGTACAGTACAAGGAACAGGTATTGTGAGCATATCAGAGATGTGATGGATGTTGGCTCTCAGGTCCCTGGGAAATGGAGGGAGTGAACACCTAGTACAATACACTTTGCCAGAGGGTAAAGGATTATTGTTACGCCAAGCTCAGGGCACAGCCTCCTTGCTGGGCCTTAGCTCTGGGAAACAGGATATCTCCAACATAATTTGACAAGGTCCTCCAAGGCCAAAACCCGAAATCTGATCAATGGCCCTTTATGTCAATCCCCTGAGGACCAGCCTAGCTAACTTCTGAGAGGCTCTTCACCAGACTGGCATGACAGTGATGAGTACCCTAGCTAACTCCTGACAACCAACTGGTAAAGGGGTTGTCCCGGTGGGATACTGGAAAGTATAGTGGATTTAGGAATGGAAGGTCTGGGTTCACAATCTTGACTGCTACTTACAAGCTCTCTGGTTTTGGGAAAGTCCCTTTAACCTCCCTGGACCTCAGTTTCCTTATCTATAAAATGAAAGCTTGACTAGAGGGTCTCTGCCAAGGTCTATTTCAGCTCTAAATTCTACAAGCTCATGGATCACTGAAGTGACGCTGCCAATCAGACACTGAAGGAAGAAGAGGTCCATGGGCATCTTGCCAACCAACCACATGCTGGAAGGCTCCAGACTGTTCAGGGAGAAGAAATTGATCCAGGAGGAAACGAGGCTGGGGACAAACCTGGGGTTCTAAAAGAGTTTATTCTTCCTGGGCCCTTTCCCATAAGACACCAATAGCATTTCAAACCAGAAAGGACCTTTATAAAACCAGTCCAATTTTCTCACTTTGCATGGAATGGGAGACAAAGCTTTCATGGCCTCAGCAAGGATTGAGCCAGCTGACTGTGTTTCCGGTGCCATCTTGAGGCTACTCCAAGCCTCAGGGTAATTTTCATGACCTTAGGAATTAAGAAGCCTCTGGATGAGGGTGAAAGAGGAGAGTGGAAAAGCTGTCCTGGAGCTTAACATTAAAAAAAAAACAAAAACAACCTAAGATCTTGGCAACTGGTCCCATCACTTTCTGTCAAATGGGGGAGAAGAAATGCAAGAAGTCAGATTTTATAATCTTGGGCTCAAAGATCACTGCAGATGGCGACTGCAGCCATGAAATGAACCCTGCTCCTTGGAAGGAAAGCTGGCCAGCATACTAAAAAGCAGAGACATCACTCTGCTGATGGAGGTCCATGTAGTCAAAGCTTTGGTTTTCCCAGTAGCAATGTCTGACTGGACTATACACAGAAAACTGAGTGCCGCAGAATCGACGCTTTCAAACTGTGGTGCTGGAGACTTTCCAGAGTCCCTCGGACACCAAAGAGATCAAATCAGTCAATACTTAGAGAAATTAATTCAGGCAATTCACTGGAAGGTCAAAGACTGAAGCTGAAGCTTAAATACTTTGGCCACATAATGAGACCGAACTCATTGGAAAAGACCCTGACTTTGGGAAAGATTGAAGGTGAAAGGAAAAGGGGACGCCAGAGGATGAGACAGACAGACAGTGTCGTGGGAACAACGAACATGAACTTGGGTGGACTTGGAGAGATAGTGGAGGACAGAAGGGCCCGGGCAATGGTCCAGGAGATCATGAAGGGTCAGATGAACAACTGAACAACAATAATGACAACAAGAGGGAAGAAGAGGGGGGAGAAGGACTGAAAGAATGGCAAGTAGAAAGCAATGAGAGTGTTTTTCCAGGAGGCAAAGGATGAAGTGAGAGGTATTGGTCACATAGGGTCACCCTGCCTGTACTCCAGGGCAAAGGAAGGAGCGAATGGAATTCAGCTGCCCTGATTCTGCTAGGAATGAGTACTGGGGACTTTCAGCTGAATAGGGCAAGTTAGAAGCCTTCACACAACCAGCCTAAGGAGGGTTGCAAGCCTACAGAGAGATGTGTTAACTATAGCCCAGAAATCTATTCGCCCTAGCTGGCTCAGACTCATAACACTTTTCTGGGGAAGAGGAGACAGATAGAAGGCATAGTAGTAGGGCAGAGGTCTTAGCGGTGGTGGTGGTGAGCAGCCCCTTGGGGCTCCAGTAAGAACTGGAGGGAGTGACGGGGTCGAGAAACAGCTTATCTGGAGGATTTCCTGCTCATGTGGATTGGGCAGGTCTCTCTCCACCTGGAATCTGCCTTACTCCTCCCAGATTTCTGCTGGTCCAAATCTTCCCTGTCTTTCCAGGCTGTGCCGATGTGGAATTGCCTCCAGGAAGCCTTCCCTGATCCACCAGGATTTTGCCTTCCCAACTTTGCAGCTGCTCCTCTCCCATCCTGATATTTCTTATAGTTATTTTTGTCCTCGTTTTATGGTCTCTCAGCCCAGAAACTACCTGAGAGCAGGAAGAGGCCCCATGCATCCCTCTTCCCAAATTTACTCCATATGCAAGGCCCCACATGTAGGAGGCAACACTGCCTATAGAGAAGTAGCTGGATGTCAAGAAAAGGGCTCTGAATTTCAGGCTCAGACACTTTTTGTTTGTGTGACTGTGGACAAGTCTTTTCCTTTCTCTCCATCTCAATTTCCTCCTCCGTGAAACGGAAATGAAAATATCTGCCATCTCTCTCAGAATTACTGGGAGGAAGCTATCGTCTGTCCCAGGAGAAAATGATAAATGGAATCGGCATCCCAGCTGTGACCTAGGCCAGAGTGACTCATTCATTTGTACAGAGTTATCGGCATGTTGTCTCCTCCATTAGAGTGTGAGCTCCTTGAGGGCAGGGGCTGTTGTTGCCTTTCTTTATATGCCTAGC